TTCCCCCTGGAAAACCTTCCCTGTAGCAGCTTCCTCTTCCTTTTCATAGGTTTCACTCGGTCCTATATCCTATTCCACATAACGCTGTGACTGTGATATGGATGATGATGATGATATCCTGTAGGCTTCTCTATCCAAGTACAATTTCTTTGGGGAGCAAAGAGACACCCCCCCCCCACACACACGCACACATTCACTTTTTTGCATCTTCCTTCACCAGCCCTGTACTTGCCTCCCACAGCAGCAGTGCTCTAGTTCTCACTTTGCCACAATTGCTAGAAGCTGGGGAGTCTGTGTGGCTCAAGAGCTGTTGTTGCTCACTGCAGTGGAAAACAGTTAGTGTTGTTAACTTGTGTTTGGCTCCCACTTGGAAACTTCTCACACTCCTGAGGCTTGCATGTAACTTAAATGTTGCTCTGCCTGTCCCATTCAATCTGAATAAGCCATCTGGGCTGCAAATGCAGCAGAGGGGCTGGATCTGCCTGGCCCTTATGTTTGACCCCTTCCTTCCCTCTCCCCCTCTCCTTCCCCCTTTGCCCAGCTGTACATCAGTGCTGCAGATGGTTTGGCAAAGCAGACTTTCTTGCTTCTGGTAGAGCATTTTCAATATAAGTGTTGTGAAAGGTGTAAGTAAAACCAGTCTGTTTCAAATGGGGATGGCTGTTAAGCTTGATCTGCTTTTTGTTCCCTTGCTTTGTTAATCTTTGATCCCTTGCCTATTAACACTTGTTTTGTGAGTCGCATTGTCTGCCTGTAGGGTGACCCAGCTCCCTGCTGTTTGGTTAGCTTTAGGACACTGGGCCCAGCCGCTCCATTGCTGTTGACCTGACTACATACCCCCGTATTCCCCTTTTTCTGGTATCTGTGTTGGCGATTGGCATCAGGATGCAAAATTTAATTTCTCTATGAATTTAGGGAAGGGGTGTGTTTGTGTGTGTGTATACCAATGCACGCTGAGGTGAAAGACTCGCAGCATTTCATTGTAGGGGACTTATACCCTTCTCTTGGGCCATCTGTTTGTGGCCAGGGCTTGGTAACTTCTGTGCCTTAGCATGGAGCCCCTGTAGTTTTACAGTACCTCTTGGCTTGAACATGTGCAGTAGCAGCTTCCTTTCCTTGCTTACTGACGTTGGAGAGCCCCCCTTCCCCTTTCCGAAGCAAGAAGAGGAGCTGCTGTAGCAGTGGACGTCATGGAGGCTGCCAGACTCTGGATTATCATAGGGCCTCGCATCTTTTACCATCACACTTGAAGTTACAGTAAACCATGGGTCTGTCCCTGGCCCTCTGTTTTTCCCCCAAGGTGGGCCTTGACAAACAAGGAGGGAAAGTCCCTGCAGAGAAGAGTCCACAAATTTAAATAAGTCTCTTGTGTATTGTGGGCTGGCAACTACTTCAACAAAGGCCTCATTAGCATTCCCTCTGGGGGGTAGTTGACACAGGGAGATGTTTTGTTCATTGTCTCATGGGACTGGAAGGGGCCTCCTACACTCCAGAGTCAATCCTCTGCATCAGCAGGGCACCCAAAGGTTCTTGAAAATTGCATCTTTAAAACCTTGCAGCACATGACTACAGGGCACAAGGCCAGAAATCCCAGACATGCCTTCCAAAAATTTTTTTCCAGCTGTTTAAGTTGGTCTAATAAAAGATATCGGAGTCACCCAAAGAACCGTGTCTGCCAGATGCCCCTTTTGCACATCCCAGGAAAAGCAGGAGAGATGAGGGTATTTTCAGTAGGCAAGAACTTACTAATACTTTGCCAACTCTAGGAAGAGGACTATGACCCATGTGTTGGAGAGGCACTCCTCTCCCTGAGTCCATGCCAGTCTGTCTGGGCTTGGGGAGGAGTGGACTTCTATTTTGATCTTGAACTTGGTGGTTAGTTGGACTCTGAGGAGAAGACCAAGATCTTGTAGCCAGGTGCTTAATGGGACTGCAAGTGCCTACCACACAGCAGAAGCATTAGATCTGTGCCCCAAAATGGGGATTGTAAGTACTTGAACCCCAGTCTGTCTCTAGAAAAGCTCTTAATTGTCTAAATGCTTGCAGTCTGGCTACATGCAAAAGCTGTTAAGCTGTGCCCTGACAACTCCAGGTGTGACACATCTTCAGAATAAAGATGCATTGTTTCTGGTCAGTGCAGCTCCCTGGAGCAAGAGGGGTACGGGGTTGAGGCTTCCTCCTTCCAGCCAGATGGGGGTTGGGAAGTAGAGGGAGGTAGTCTCAGAAGTGTTTTATTGTTAAACACAGCTGAAGAGCAGTGAGCCCTGTGCCATAATAGCCATGATGGGCTGTGGTGTGCTCATGGAGTGAACAAAGAGGGACTTGTATCATGTGTACTTCCTGGACTAGGAGCTGTAGACTAGCTCAGCCCCAAGGGTATTTAACTTGCATCTTGGGCAAGCTGCAGTTGGTATTGTGCTTTGATGTGCTGCTTGAGAAGACCTTAATTGCCCTTTGGGCTTGTGAACTGGTGCTGCTGCCTCTGCTGAGATGAAGCCCAGCTCTCTCGGAGAAATCTCCCCACAGGGGTGTTGGGGAAATGAATCTGTGGCCTTCAAGGAGGCTGCAGAAGTTACAGGGTGACATGCCATGCATGGTTAAGGTACAGAAGCATATCTGGCCCCTTTGTGGCACTGGGAGAGGGTGGAGAGCAGCCAGCTAACCCAAGCACCTGAGGAGTCCTTGGGGCTTCAAGGAAGCTTCACTTGTGTTCTCCTTTTGGGAGTTCTAGACTTATTAAATAAACCCGTTAATAACACTGTTGCTCAAGCCATTAGTGCCTGCATTTTCAGGAGAAAATCTAGCAGACCTGATTCGAACAGATTCAGAAATATATGCGTAGCGAAGATGACTTTAGTGGAGTAGGTGCTTGCGCTGAAATGTGTAAACATGGCTCTGTAACATCAAGAATAGTTTTCTCCCCCCTCACCTTTAAATTTCAGTTCTGGATACTAGAAATAATCACATTTTAACTTGTGATATTTATATTTGGTCTCTTCACTACTCTAGACCTGTTACTGCATCTTCTTATTTAAGATGCAAGGGAAGTGTTTGGCTATGGCTTGCATATTTGCATTGTATTGAACATGCACACCCCATCTTTGAAGAATTCTCATAGTCTTAAATAACTTGTGTATAGTGATTTTTTTTTTTTTTTAAAGCTTCTAAAAGACTGTGCGTATGTATGGTTTGCATATTGTTTTTATTCAACCATAACCAAAGCTAAAACTGTCTAGTTCAAACTATATAAAACCATGGAAGTCATGTGCCGACAAAATATACTGTTCTTTGGATCAGAAATGACCTAACGTGGTGTTTAAAAAAACAAAACAAAACCAAACAAAAAAGTCATGTTATTGGTTATTGTCTATTAGTTCTGCCCAAATAGCTTATTCTTTCATGTTGATTACTGTAGACTTTTCTATTGCCATATTTTTCAGTGTATAAGGCTTCCCCTTCCCCCTAATAAATTCTGCCTCAAGGTGGCAGAGGTGTTGGCATGCTTCCCGGGTAGCTTCTGCTGGGCAGTCATCCCAGGGTTGGGGATTGGTTGGGGCATTCACAGGGAAAGACAAGTGGGCGGCTGCAGCTCCCTGCACACCTTTACTCCCAGACCCGCAGGCTTCTGCTAGAATCTCTAGGCTTGTCTTTATGGTACTAGTGTCTGTCTTCTGTTACGGGGGGTTCCCCTCCCCTCATCTCTCAGCCATACCTTTTCTCTCCATTCTGTAGAGAGAGAACCCTGCATTATGCCCTAGTAACATGGTGAAATGGATTGCATTTCTATAAGAAGTCTCTAAGAGAAGAGGCCTCCAGTGGGTTGTTGAATGTCCATAACTTGTAGTTGGATGGGTCTTGGGTGCTTGTATTATCTGAAGGAAGTGCAACTACAGCCAGTGTTTTTTGTGCAGCCTATTCTGATGGCAGATCATCTGCTTCAAGCACAGCTTTGCCCAGTTAAATTCTTTCTATGTTTAATAGAGCATCACTAGCAAAAGCCTGAGCAAAAGCAGCCCCTCAGACTTTGGATTGTGACTAATTCCATGTTTTGGATGGGGTGACTAGTTTAAATCACAATCAAGTACTACATTTATTACAATGGAAAAGAGTAGATGAAACTTGTGGCAGCTTGCATGTGAAAGCTGCATGCTAACCTGTCCAGCTTCTGAGCCTGCATAGAGGAGCCCTCTAGAACCCTACATGCTGTAATTTTTTGCCCCCTTACCCCCCCATGTAAGTGTCACCAGGAGTATTCTGCCCAGATCTGCACAGTTGAGTGGCAAAATAACCATGGTATGAGGTCCCCAGCCCTGATTTTGAAATGACCCTTGCTTGCGCTAGTGCTGAAGCAAAGAGTTGCTGTGCTTAACGTGGGTACTGGTCAGACAAACACTTGGCAGGGTTTTATTGAAGGACTAAGTATCTTTGCAGCCAGGGCATACTACTGAGTTCTCCAGTAAAACCTACCAGACATTGCTGTGACTGGAAAAAATGCTGTTAAGTACAGCAGCTCCTGAGCTAAAAGCACACAAGACTGGACTCTGACCCAAGAGGTCTGTTCTGGACTCCTGCTATTACAATTAGCCAGGCTTTATAATCCCACATGTGAACTCATCAAGTGCTATTTTTGCAAGCAGCTTTGATTTGAGGAAGGAGGGAAAGGGGCTTTTATGGATTAAATGTCATGAGGCTTTTCCTGTTATGTAAGACTGTAAATGTTTGGGTTATCAAATGCTAATTGTGGAAAAGAGGAAGGGGTGTGCTCCTTGATTTGGAGGATGCCGTGGCATTTCAAAATGAAAGTGGTCTCTTGTATGCATTGTCTGGTAGATGTTCTGACAGCTCTCACATGCTTCATTCTCAAACTGTCTTACGACTGGTAGACTGGAATTGCTGCTTTCCAGAAGTCTCCTACCCTTATGAAAAGTTAAGAGTTTTCTTATGAAAAAAGCAAATTATTGAAAAGCCCTTCTTTCTTTAAAATGCAGATACTGACATGACTCCTTTTTTTTTTCCCCCCCTCCTCAGCTTGTCCCCGGTACACCAATACAAGTTGCGAAGACTGCCTGAAAAATGTCACCGTAAGTAGTGCGTAAGCAAAATCACAGTTGCTGTACTTCTTGGTTTTTAGAGGGAGCTGGAGGCATTGTGTGGTGAGGGGCGAACTGCCAAAGACCAGAGTATCTGCCAGGTTCTAAAAGATTCGTCTCTGTGGATGAGGTAGTAATAACTGATTTCAAAGGGAGCTGCAAGGGGCAATGCTACAGCTATTAATCCAAACCTCTGGAAAGCGTTCCCCACCTGGCTTGGATCGCTTCTGCCTTATGCTATACTTGGCTGACTGGCTACTTCTTTCCTCCTCCAGTCTTTGCAGGGGCAAATTGCAATCTGCATAGATGCTTTTTTGGGTGTTGGCTAAATTCTAGCTTCCCAAGGTGGCTTACCATTGTGGCTAGCTCTAGTAATCCAGTCTGGGGATTTTCTGGAAAGAAATGTTAAGCGTCTAAAGCCCCAGTGGAATTTTAATTTGGGGGAGAGGAGAAGGGAGGATGTTATCGCAATATTTTTGGAACTCGGTGTTGGGTTTAAGGATATACAAAAGTGTGGGAGGAATTCCATCTCCCTCCTTGGCATAAAGGGGAGTCTTGCTGAAGTAATACCTTACAAGGTTGTGGAAGGACTAAAACTAATTTTGTACCTTGAAAATGGTCCCTGGTTTGGAACATGTGCAAGGAGTGCAGGATGCTCAAAGTTGAGGCCTCTGTTTGGAAGGTACGTGTAAAATACAAGGGAATTCGGTATTCCAGTACTGTCCGTCTGCTTCTGCAATGCTGCTGACGACTGTTCTTTTGTCACCTAAGCTATGACATCTGGGGCTAGACAAACCTCATGCATTTACAAATATGCTTAATTGCTGTTGAGAAGCCTGTCCAGAAATTGGATTCAAAGCTCTCCCTCTTTAAAGCTTTGTCCTTTTGTTCTTGTTCCCTGCCCCATTATTTAACCTCTTTTTATTAGCTTTGCAACAAACTGACAACCTCTCACTCCTTTATTAAACATTTGTGGAAGAAGATCTAGACTTCTGTCTTCCAAAGTAACAAGTTTTAGAATTGCAGTCATTTGTCATTGGGAGGAAATGGAGTGGTAAGTTAAATCTACGTGAGATCAGGAGTCCTGTTGAAATGGCAGTGCAGACATGCTATTGAGTAGTTACTGTCCTCTTGGCTGGGTTTGTGTGGTGCTGATTCTTGAGTCATGAATCAAGCAAGTCATCAGAGACTACAGCAGTGGTGTTTTGTTACAGCCTGAGAGGTCTTCCATTGCTCTTTGTAAGTGTGCTTTTTTTTTTTCTTTAGAATACTAGTGTAAAATAACTGTAGCATGCCTTCCACAGTTCTTTCTGCGGTATCGGGGTTCTCATTTAGGTAACTAAGTGCAAAACTAGGGGAGGGAATCCTAATGAGGACATAACTACCCTGTAGTAGGCAAGGGTGTGACACGGGAATGGTGGAAAGAGACTACTTCTTTACTTGTGGGTCAGGAAGGGTTAATACCGCTGTTACATGACTAGGTCAGCATACATGCATTCCTCAGACTGCAGTCCCATGCAGTTGTGCTGGATTGGGCAGTCTGGTTGGATTTCTTTCCTTTTTTCAAGAGGAATCGGATTGCTTCTAGGGTTCTGCAACTCCTTCTCCAAGGACCAACTATTTTAGGCCCCTAGCTAGAACAGGGAGACTAATGGGGCCTACAAAATGGCTGGTGGACCTAATGGGATGTGGTAAATAATGCTGTACTGTCCTCCAGAACTAATCTGCTTTTCCTTTTACAAAGCCAGGGGAGTGCAATTTTGGAAAGGCACTTTCAGTGTGTCTCTCTCCTGATATAGATATATAGCAGAAATACCACTTCAGTTCCTTGGATCTGGCCTCCAGTACTAATAACCTATTTCTGACTAAGCCAGATCCTGAGCCGGTAACCTTATGGGGGGAATAGACCTGAGGGGGGGGGTGCACTGATAAGAGTAAAAATCGGACAATCTGACATGGAAAAATCATTTGCACTTGGCATAGAGTGAGTTCCCTCGTGCACGTTTATAGTAGACCAAAGTAGGCTGCTGAACGGTACTCGTGCTTCCCTGAAACAGTTAATCTGTAAGGTGCCACCCTGCCTTACTTCTCAGCTTGACTTCAGACTAATCCTGCTGACCACCTCTTTGAAGACTTTAACACAGCTAAACGTCTGAGATCCTGTTGCTGCCACAATCCAGCTCTGACATGGTTCATAACTTGGTGTGGGGGGTTTTAAACTATTCTAAAGTATGCAAAGAGTAAGTCATTAAACTTAACTGTGATAACGTTCTGAGCCAACTAATAGCATCCCTGTGCTGCTTGATCTCAAAGAGCATATTCCACAAGTATTTATCAAATAGGATGGTAACCTTGTGAGAGCTCCAGGCTAACTATTGCCTGTTGTTTTTGGGATCTTAAGACTAAACATGTGATAGCTGGCTGTCATGGGTTTGAGGCTGTCTCACTGTGAGACAGCTGTATAGTAGGGAACTTGCTTTGAGGGCACTCCCATAGCTTATGAACTGGATGTGTAGTGCCTAGTGGATGGGGAAAGCATAGTTGACTACTATCTATTCGTGACGGCCAATCTAAATAAATGCAGGTTTGAGTGGAGTGGGGTGGAAGTACTTAAGTGCATAAGGGAACCTGTTGATTTCCAGGATCAGGGCTCAGTATGCTTATTGGACACATGACTTGTAGGGTCTGTCAACTTGATGGATTTAACCAAACCAGGTCTAAAGTTGTGTGGCTGCTAGGCCTAGTCTCACTTGAAAAGAAGTGGCACCCCAAGATAGCACCTTCGAGTAGTGTTTGGTTTTTTAAGTCGGTTGTCAGAGGAGTAGCTGCGCCCATACCTCAGTCTGGAGAGGTGTGAAAATGTCTGCTCCCATGCTCAGCTTTTCACAAGGGTTCCTATTACTGGTATAATCCTCCCCCCCCCCCCCCC